CCATATTGATTACAACATATTGTGAAATTTTGAAATATTGCGAAATCATATTAAAAACCAAACATTAGCGATTTTTATATCATTAGACATTTGTTCGATTTCATCTTTTTAATTCTTTTCTATTATTTTATCATTGATGCAAATATAAACATGTCGGTGTGAACACGAAAAAATATGAAATGAAGAAGCATTTTTTATTTACATATTGGGATGCGCATGTACACAGCGCCCTCATGCAGTATTTATTCTGATGCAGTAATGCCAACTTTCTGCATAGAAAACTATAGATCCCCAAAAAGGTGCGCTGTTTTTTTAGAGAGCCCAATAGAGTCGCGCTACGTTTACGACAATCAATACTCGATGACTTGATGAGAAAATCGCTGGCACACGATCGATCGGGGCGGTGCACTGGAAGAACTACGTCGCTACTACACGCCCAGATGACAGTTGTTCTTAATGGATAAAGTACAACGAACGTACTCCTCTGTATATGCTGATCACTAAATAACTGTTTCTTTCTTAGCTAATTTTAATGTGTGTTTTTTAAAATATTTTTTTACTAGCAGATTGTAAAATCTATGACAATTACACTCATTTATATTTGCGGTTTGAAATCAACAATAAAACATTTATTATCCTATAATAAGTTCAACATTTAATTTCATTGAACAATTTTCATTACTCCTAAAATGCACACATCCCATCGATACTCAGTCGATTGACGAAATGAAATTTCATCTGTTTCAGTGAAAATTAAAAAAAACTTTTGCCAGTGATTGTTTTATCAATTTCATTTTCTATTTAAATTTATTTTTTGATTTTATGAAATCAATGAATTTTCGAATAAATTCTGGAAATGTTGCCTTCGAAAAATTGGTACTAATGACACCTTTGGGTCGCAGTTTTCTTGGGTTAACGGCAAAATCGGTTTCTGAAAATGGGCATACCGGCCTGAAATTTTATGATCTTTCAATCTATGATGCCTTAATAACGCATTATTTTGAAATAATTCACTATTTTCACCATTTTTCCATACTTTCCGGTATGGGTTAATTTTAACCCCTTAGTCAAACATTTTCACCGTTTTTGGATCGTAAGATCTAGTGGGCCTCAATATCTTTCCAATGAGCCAAAAATCATGCATTTATGTCCAAAAATGGGCTCACAATGGCTTTTGGCGTAGAAGGACGGCGGCGCGGCCAAAAATGCGCCGGCGGCCAAATCTTTGGTATAGAGTTTGAAGTTCAAACCACCAGTAATATTAGTATTCCTATATTCAGCAATGGCTTCCAATGTCCAAGTGTTTTTTTTTTTCTAATGTCCACGATTTTCAAATGCGATATGATAAATTTGCTAGAAAATTTTATTTACTTTGTTGTTTAAATCATATAATGTAATGACAGTTTGGAAGGACAATTGGGTGAATGTGCCTTTCCGGCATTTTGCTTCGCCATGACAGCATCTTCGTTAGTTAGTTTCCGGCTTTTTGGTCCACCATATTGGTTTGTCATACATGTTATTACATTTACTCGAAGAGTTCTCGGTATTAATTTTATGAAGCTTGTTGATATTTTTTATTTTTGAAAATGTTGATTTTGATTTTTTGAAGAGAAAAGATAAAAGATACGGAAACTACGGATTTATTTTTATTCACAAGCGTATATTTCAGGAGTAATATCTTTTGTTTGATGGCATATTGCTTTGATATGGAGAGAACAAAAATGTGCTGTGGGTAGCACATTTCTGTATTGACATGAAATTCACATTACTCCTGAAATACACAGGAATAAATGAGACACAGAATGATTTTGATTTATAGTCACAATTGAATGGGCAAGCGGAATAATGAAACGTAATTCTGTTTTTAAATGAAGTGCCTCTGAGAAAATTTTTCAGTAAAAAAGCCCCACAAAAATATTGTCTGATAAAAATTTGTATGAAAATCTTATTCAGACAATATTTTTGTGGGGCTTTTTTACGGAAAAATTTTCTCAGAGGCACTTCATTTAAAAACAGAATTACGTTTCATTATTCCGCTTGCCCATTCAATTTCAAATTTTGTAACACGCATGATGTAATAATACACCAAAAAGATTATACATTTCATCGATTCCTGTGTATTTCAGGAGTAATGTGAATTTCATGTCAATACAGAAATGTGCTACCCACAACACATTTTTGTTCTCTCCATAGCACTTTTTCGCATTGACATCAAAACATATGAATGACTGAGATTGAAAACAAGACATATTCTGACAATATATTTAAATGAAATACCAAAGAAAGATTTTTTTAAAGTGTAACATCGGCAGAGAATTTTTCGAAGTGAAACACCGCGTGTTACATTTCAATAAAATTTGTTTTCCATGATTCACTTTGAAAAACGTTTGCGCTGGTGTTTCGTTTGTAAATACTTGTTGCATGATGTTTCGGTTCTAAGAATGCATGATAATTTTATTGATAAGGAATACGAATTTCGATGTGTCGATAACACCAATGGATTGGGCACATGAATCGAAAAAAAATTTCAACTTTTTTTTTCGATTTTTGCCTGTTTCGGATCGTCTTCGATGTAGAGTATTTGTATGAGTGTATTCCATTATGGTATAGAATATACACCACAATGGAATACACTCATACAAACATTTACTCCGATATGGAGTGTATTGTGTATTACTCCTATTTGGAGTGAAAAACTCAAAATTTGTACGGAGAATGGTTTGAGTGAAGTTTTATAAAATTAATACAGAGAACTCGTTTGCATTAAATTTGAAAACATAACCTAGATATTGGAGCATTTTCATTGTTTATCATTGTCGTTACTCCTGAATTGCAAAATCTTAAATTCAAGAAATTTCAAACAAGTTTTCATATATTTATTTAATCAGAAAATATTGTTTGATATTGTTGTTCACTATAACATGTGTGTCTGTTCGTTGACAGTCATTGACAGTTCTCTTACGAAGTGAATACTTAACCTAAGTCAGCAGTGATGATACTTTAGAGCACGTAGACTTTTGAGTAGAATATCAACCTCAACAACAAACATTTCCAGAATTTATTCGAAAATTCATTGATTTCATAAAATCAAAAAATAAATTCAAATAGAAAATGAAATTGATAAAAACAATCACTGGCAAAAGTTTTTTTTAATTTTCACTGAAACAGATGAAATTTCATTTCGTCAATCGACTGAGTATCGATGGAATGTGTGCATTTTAGGAGTAATGGAAATTGATCATTGAAATTAAATGTTGAACTTATTATAGGATAATAAATGTTTTATTGTTGATTTCAAACCGCAAATATAAATGAGTTTAATTGTCATAGATTTTACAATCTGCTAGTAAAAAAATATTTTAAAAAACATTAAAATTAGCTAATAAAACAACAATTATGTTATAATTGAAAATTTGTGTATTCAGTGCATATCACCTCGACTAAAGTACTACGTGACAGCAGTCACAATCGAGTGACAGGCGCGTAGTTTTGGTTACCGCGCGCAGCTATGCGATCGATACTATGAACTTTATCTGCAAATGCAGAACCGGCCGAAAATTCCATAATCTATTTTGGAAATCACCCAGCGGATGGCCTTTTAGATAATTCAATGATAAAATTTGCCCATGTTTTTATATGGAGCACGTGTTTATGCTATATTTAAGGCTAACAAAAATATTTATTTAAAAACGTCATTTTCGGCGTTTTTCATAGTTTTCACTTAAATGTTAAGAGATATAGACATGGTGTCTTCAGCAATGTTGTAGAGTTTGACAATCTCTGTGATCTGAAACATTAGTTTTTCGCGGTTTTCGTCGAATTGATAAGAGATAAGGAATATGTGTCTCCGTGACAATTATAGAGCTTGTCAAACACTACAACATTGCTGAAGACACTACGTCTCTATCTTTTACCATTTAAGTGAAAACTATGAAAAACGCCGAAAATGACGTTTTTAAATAAATATTTTTAGCCTTAGCTGTATTTAAGCGACATCTTGGCGCTGAATGCTGAACTATGAAACTCCTATATAAATATACTGTCAACTATCAATGATAGCAACCAATGAAAGCTACAATTGAACGTATTTGTATGGCAAAATACTTCCTACTTGCAGATGGCGCCAAACCGAACGTCATTCTAGTCATTTTTCTCATTGGATAATTTTATCAGTGGCAGTTAATCGAAATAATTATTCGTTTACCATACAATTTACACGCTCTCATCTATATATACTATATAATATATACAATGAAAACCACTAAAAAACGGGTTCGATTTACTCTAACTAAAATCACTTTAGAGCACTTCAAAATTGAAACTGCGGTTTCTAAACTTCATCCACACGATGCACCAAGCCCTTTAAAATTTGCTGAGTGTTTCCAAATGCTAATGAGTTTATTGATTTGATCGACCATTCCTAAAATAGTTGGCTGCTCAGTGCTCACCTTCATCTCGTACGTATTCGCAGAAGGAAACTTCCACATTTGATGCCAGAGCCGAACAAGTTTTAATCGTTGCAAATTATTAATTTGTGGAATCGAACCAACTAAAAAGCAGGTCAAACAATCAACCAATCAACGTATGATGGCAAAAGGCTTTTAAATCGAAAACAAATTAATTTTCTGGAAAGCGGAAGAGAGAGAGGGAGAGAAAACAACTACTCTTTTAAAAAAAATTTTAAACCCTTTGAATTGTTTTAATGAATTTCATCATATTGCCGAACTATAATAATTCAGGCAAAAAAAAAATGTTTTTTGAACACTTGTTCAATTTTGTAATGACATTTTTTTTGTTGATTGTGAGAGTTTGCATTTTTATGCACATGATGTCGATTTAATAATGATTTTTTTCAGAAAAAAATCAGAGCATTGAATTTGCTGACTGCTGCAAAAGTGGCTTTCAACAGCAGCTGTTGGTTGCGGTCCTATGCATGTGTCATAGAGATTATAGAAATAAATGAAACTCTACTGTAATTTTTTTCTTACTTTTTCTTAGCAAACTGGGTACACATGGAAGTCCAAGGCGTAGAAATGCTGGTCACGACCCTCCAGTGAAACATTTGGGCCTCGGAGAAGTAAAACGATTTACTGGAGGAATGCACAATACAGAAACTCTACCTGGTAAGCTTGTTAAACATTCCAACCAGATTCGTTTTTTCCATGCTCTTGTCTATCGGTGAATGTCAAAGCGCATAAATTACAAAGAAATTGATATCAAAAATACCATCTTAGATTCATTAAAAAGCAAAGAAATCAACACAATCAAGAAAGAAATATATTTTATATTTCAAATATGGAACAAAGATACAAAGAACTTTAAAATTTTCCTTGGATCTGAAACCACTTTTTTATCATGCAAAATATTGAATCCAAGCGGACGGCATTTTAACAAACATTTAGCAATATTTTGTACGCACATTTGTTAAGATATGTGTAGATTTTTACTATTTTCTTGAGTGGACAGTTTCATCTTTCTCAATTCAAGTGCAACTTGAAATCATGGGCAAAATGAATCAAATTATACTGACCAGATATATATTGAAAAAAAATGGACCGAATATTGAATAAATGCTCTACCATGGTAAACTGTTTTATCAAATCAACAAAAAAGCTCTTTTAGATAATGGTTTGAATGTAAAATAACCATATGAACCGTAGAATTATCGGATTTTGGAATTGTGTATTGATTTTTTGTTCTTCGTTTCTTGTCCATGAATTGAAAATCTGGAAAACAAAGTTGAAATCAGAGTGCTGCCATTTGGAATGAGGTAGCGAGAGAAAAATTTATCACAGTGACCCAAACAAACTTCGTTAAAGCAGAGCAAAAATCATTGCTAGAGGAAGAGAGAGAGAGAGAGAGAGAGAGAGAGAGAGAGAGAGAGAGAGAGA